CAAGAGGGCGCTGTTGACCTCATTATTATTACTATTATGGGGTCAGCAGCGCCCTCTTGTGGCCAGTAATTGAGTTGCAGTGTATTACCAGCGACTGTAACATAGATAACACTGATTTATTTAATGTATAAACCAGAATGTTTAGGTTTAATCTGTAATTTAATGTTTGAAAACTATTAATATTTTATTAAATTCATTCTCATTTACGTTTGTCTCTTTTTTTTACGTTTGTGATTATCTTCTTATTTATTTTGTATGTGAAATGTTGAATGGAGAACACAGAATATCATTGCCAAATACTGCATTACTGTAATTTTTTACATTAAACTAACAGCTATAATGCTTGTGTCTGTGTTTCACTAGCAGTTGTAGCTGTTAGCCGGCATTAAGACAGCTAAGGTAACTGTCTTTACCATAAACTTAATTAATTACACACTGGACAACGATGGGTTTCACTTAAATTCCTGCTTTGTTATTATTTACATTGTGTCTGTTATATTGTCAGCATCTGGAGAACTAACGTTAGGTTATATATTTCTTCTTACCTGCTTCAGTATAATGAAGCATATACAAAGTGAAAGTGTTTTACAGAGGTTGATTAAACTTTATTTTAGAGGTTGAGTTAGTGGTGCTGTTGGATTGTAATGTGTTATATAACGTTATATATACGTATATTCATTGTGAATGAGTCTTACAGTTTTTTTTATATTTAAAACATATCAAACTACTCATTTTAATTACATCTGTCAAACCCAGGAGACGTTCATCATGTTAAACAGCTGATCTTTGTGAGCAACACACACACACACACACACACACACACACACACACACACACACACACACACACACAGATAAACTCACCTGATTACCTGTAACTGTAGAGGGGAGGAGCAACACTGAGCAGGTGATACAGGTCCATGAGAAGAGGGAGGAAACCCTGAAAGTGAAAGTGTTCAGTTGGTTCAGTCTCCATTCTGAGTCCACAGAGCAGAAGGAGGGAAACTGAAGGCTGAGGCAGGGTGAGTGTTAATACAACATTATTATTATTTTACTGTCAAAGTCTCTGAGTCAGTTTTCTTCCTGTGGACTGTAGAGGACAGAAATGTTAGAATGAACTCAACAGTTTGATTCATCTGTGGATACAAAGTTGTGATTGACTGAATAATACAGATTAAAGCTACTGTAACCCAAGAAAACAAGTACAGGGTTAAAGAAAGTGACCAGGTGGAGTTCTATATTATACTGTATACTCTATATACTATACAGAGTACTGTGTGTGTGTGAGTGTGAGTGTGTGTGTGTGTGTGTGTGTGTGTGTGTGTGTGTGTGTGTGTGTGTGTGTGAGTGTGAGTGTGTGTGCTGTTGTTGCTGTTCTCTCAGTCTGTGACTCTTGAACAAACCTGTTTTTCTTGATTCTTCTGTTTTGAGTCAGTGTTAATATTTTATCTCTCAGACTGACTGAAGTGCAGAAGATGAGTGTTTGTGTGGAGGAAGAGGAGGACAGAGCAGAGTCTCCAGTGTCCAGCTGTCTGTCTATGAAGAGTGATTGGTCCAAAGGTGAACCTCCATACTTCAGTAATGAACCTGGACCCTCAGACACAAAGTAAGAGAACTGACACTAACTCATTAATTTCACTTATATTCAGTTACTGTATGTTCTCTGTTGATTTAATGTTTGTATTTTACATTTTCTACCAAACTGTATTTACTAAAACTTTTTGTGACACTAACAAAGAGAAATCTTTCCTTCCAACTTCCTCTTAGTATCTGTAGCTGTCAGTCAATCTAATGTAAGAGGACTAATACAAACTTTTACCTCCTACTTATCAACAGTAGCAGCAGTTTGTTTATTTACAGCTTCCTAAATGGGAAAGATTAAAGGACAAAGGATTCATGTGAATAAAACCATCTTGGTGTTTGCAGAGTTCAGTACAACAGACAGAGAGCAGAGTCTCCAGTGTCCAGCTGTCTGTCTATGAAGAGTGATTGGTCCAAAGGTGAACCTCCGTACTTCAGTAATGAACCTGGACCCTCAGACACAAAGTAAGAAACAGTTTTTACTGTAAACTGACCTGAAAATAGATTTATTTTCATGATGCAGAACTATTAGTGCAGACACTGTTTCAAACTAAAATGTATCTTATTTTATTTATTTAACAAAACACTTGAGAACCTCAGTTTCAGAGTTTATATTTCATATATAATATAATAATATTCATATATTTTTGCTCTGATGTTAAAGTCGCTGTAAATATTTGTAACTTTTATCTGAAAGAATCTGTTTCTAATGTGTAACTAAATATATTGTTTCTAAAGATGAAGAAACAAACATCCATTTATTTATGTAAAAGTTATCTGCAGATTTAAAAACAGGGACAGAAAATGTCAAATGTAGATTTGGAGACTTCTTTTTTAAGAATATTTGAACTGGATATATTCCTTCATTTGATAGTTGACAATATAGAGTGACAGGAAACATAAAAGGAATGAAAAACAAACAAATAAACAGTTTGTAGTTGAACCTGTGACACCACTGTTACGTGCTATGTGTCTTACAGTAAACTGCTGGTCTATCATAATTATTTAGAGCACTTCTAACCTCAGTTTAAACTAACACAAGCTAATCTGCCCAAAGTGACTGTAGAACAGTGAAGGACATAATCAGCTCTCTTTAATGGAAGGCTTTTATTGTGAAGCAGCTGCAGGAAGTGTTGAGTTTGTATTAATAACAAACTACAGGCAGATCAATAAATGTTTAATAAGACAGACAGATAGGAAAAGCACTCAGTGTTTATGAAAGCAGGAGAGTTGAAATAAAAGGAATCATTTTCATTACAGACTGAATGCTGAATTCAAACAGAAAAGTTAACAACACTTTTAATGTTCTCTGTGACCATCTGAGCTTCCAGACAGTGTCGGACAAATCTCAGTATTTTTCATCAACAATCAACAAATCATTTTAGTAATAAAGAAATGTCTTCACAGAGAGAGGAAGAGGAGTCATGTTTCTGTGGAGGAGCAGCTGTCCTGCTGTGTTTTGTGTCAGGACGTCCTGAAGGATCCAGTCTCTACCAGCTGTGGACACTGGTTCTGCAGACAGTGCATCACCTCATACTGGGACCAGTCTGCTTCATCAGGAGACTCCTCCTGTCCCCAGTGTGGAGAAAGATCCAGAACAAGAGCTGGACTGCAGACAGCCAGTCAGACCAGCACTGTACAAAGTAAGACTGTACATCTTAAATCAAATTTTAATGTAACCTTCTACATTTCACAACATTAAGTTTATTTATAGACTTATAATAAGTTAATTCAACCATGTGGATACAACCCAAAAATTGCATGAATCATGTAACTATATAAACTTCATGGAATAAACTGAACAAGTGCTACTTGTCCTGGATGTAGGATGAGATTGAACCATTGGCAGCACAGTAGGCAAGTACCAGTGAATAGAAAATAGATTCGATCAGCCACCAGTAGTCAGTGCAGGGTGTGGAGGAGCAGTGTAGTGTGGGAGAACTTCAGTAGGTTGAAGACCAGCTGAGCTGCTGCATTCTGGATGAGCTGCAGAGGTCAGATGGCACATGCAGGCAGACAGGAGTGAGTTTCAGTAGTTTAGGCACGAGATGACAAGATCCTCCTGTGTGAGAAACAGACTCTGAGCTAAAATTATCACTCAGAAGTGCAGAGCTGAGCTAATAGTGAATTGTTACCAAAATAAAAGCTCTCTGTTTAGTTTAGTTTGCCACGTATCTTAATATCTGGCAAATTCTTGTTTTCAACTGAGCTGCTGGCTGAGACAAACCAGGAGAGTCTCACATCAGATTCAGAATGAATGACACATAATCTAACCTTCATTCAGTATGTTGATGTCAGGAATATTATTTCTTTTTATTGACATTTTAGATTTGTTTACAGTGAGATATTATTGAATTCTTTTGGGGCCTTGCTGTTGTAAACATTACAGTTGTAAACATGTAGTTTATTTAAAATATTACATTCTTATCCAGTTTTTAATAAAAAAAAAAAAAAACAGGTTCACATAGGAACTGCATAGCTAATATGAACTCTTTAATGTTTGTTTTTATCACAAGTCATATTGTCATCACAATATTGAACACTGTTATTGCACATTGCAGATATTCTTCATATTGTGCAGGGCTAGTTTAGATAATGAGCTGCTGAGGCTCAGCCTGTTGCTTCTGCTGTCAATCAAATATGTACACCGACACAGTCAGAGAAAAAATAACATTTTCTGATGTTCCCTCAAAACTACTTCTGTTTATATTTCTATATTTATCTTTATATTGTTAATAAAAATAATCAGCAGATTATCAAATCTTCTTTGTTTTGACTCAAACTCTCTTCTCTTCATTAGTGAGTGGTAGTCTGCAGGAGGTTTTAGATGAACATAAGATCAGTCTGCAGACGAGATGTAAACATGTGACTGAAGGAACTGATGAAACAGGAAGTGGAACCCTCCTCAACAGGATCTACACTAAGCTCTACATCACAGAGGGACAGAGTGAAGAGGTTAATACCCAACATGAGGTGAGGCAGCTTGAGACAGCTTCCAAGATGGAGACCCTCCATGACACTCCAATCAAGTGCCACGAGATCTTTAAAGCCTTACCTGACCAACAGAGACACATCAGAGTGGTTCTGACGAACGGTGTCGCTGGCGTTGGAAAAACCTTCTCAGTGCAGAAGTTCACTCTGGACTGGGCTGAGGGCTTGGAAAACCAAGATGTCAGTCTGGTGGTTCTGCTTTCGTTCAGGGAGCTGAACCTGATCAAAGATGAGCAGTACAGTCTTCTCACGCTGCTCCATGTTTTCCATCCAACATTACAGAAGGTCACAGCAGAGCAGCTCGCTGTCTGTAAACTTTTGTTCATCTTTGACGGCCTGGATGAAAGCAGACTTTCACTGGATTTCCTCAACAATGAGGTTGTGTCTGACATCACACAGAAGTCTTCAGTCAACGTGCTGTTGACAAACCTCATCAAGGGGAATCTGCTTCCCTCGGCTCTCGTCTGGATAACTTCCAGACCTGCAGCAGCCAATCAGATCCCTCCTGAATGTGTCGACAGGGTAACAGAAGTACGAGGCTTCACTGACGCCCAGAAGGAGGAGTACTTCAGGAAGAGAGTCAGTGATGAAGATCTGTCCAACAGAATCATCTCACACATCAAGACCTCCAGGAGCCTCCACATCATGTGTCTAATCCCAGTCTTCTGCTGGATCACTGCTACAGTTCTGGACCACATGTTGACTACAGACCAGAGAGGAGAGCTGCCCAAGACCCTGACTGACATGTACTCACACTTCCTGCTGGTTCAGACAAAGAGGAAGAAGCAGAAGTATGATGAGGGACATGAGAAGAGCCCACAGGAGCTGACGGAGGCTGACAGGGAAGTTCTTCTGAAGCTGGGGAGGCTGGCGTTTGAACAGCTGGAGAAAGGAAACATCATGTTCTACCAAGAAGACCTGGAGCAGTGTGGTCTTGATGTCACAGAGGCCTCGGTGTACTCAGGAGTTTGTACAGAGATCTTCAAAAGAGAGAGTGTGATCTTCCAGAAAACAGTCTACTGCTTTGTTCATCTGAGCATTCAGGAGTTTCTGGCTGCAGTCTACATGTTCCACTGTTACACCAACAGGAACACCAAAGTACTGGAGGACTTCTTTGGTCAAAAACATGTTAATTCAACCCTGGATGTCTTTCTGAGGAAAGCCATGGAGAAATCTGTCAAAGGAAAAAATGGCCACCTGGACCTGTTTGTTCGCTTCCTTCATGGCCTCTCTCTGGAGTCCAACCAGAGACTCATAGGAGGCCTGCTGGGTCAGACAGACAACAGTCCAGAAATCATCCAGAGAGCCATCAACAACCTGAAGAAGATGAACATTTATGATATCTCTCCTGACAGAAGCATCAACATCTTCCACTGTCTGATGGAAATGAACGACCACTCAGTCCATCAGGAGATCCAACAGTTCCTGAAATCAGAGAAGAGATCAGAGAAGAAACTCTTTGAGATCCACTGCTCAGCTCTGGCCTACATGCTGCAGCTGTCAGAGGAGGTTCTGGATGAGTTGGACCTGAAGAAGTACAACACATCAGACCAGGGACGACAGAGACTGATTCCAGCTGTGAGGAACTGCATAAAGGCTCAGTAAGTTCAGATGTGATTAACATTATAAATCAATGTAAAGTTGAAGGTATCAGTATTAGAGTAAAGATTATATTGTTTAGTTCTTAACAAAGAACGTCTTTTCACATGTTTTTTCATTCAAAATAATTTTGATTTATAAACCAGTTTACAAAGTCCATTCAAATACCACCAGAGAGAGAGAGAGGGAAAAGGAGAGAGCTTCTTTACTAATGAAGGTTCATTTAGTGTAGCAGAGCCTTTCCAGTGAGCCATGATGCACAGTAGCAGCACCCTGACTGTGTTTGACCTGAATGTAACAGAACCTTTATTAGTGTCATTGGTAACACCTGTGTTTACCCTCCTGTTTCATATAAAATGGCTCCTGTGAAAAGGGTATATTATACTATTAATGCAATAGGAGTCATTAAATTAATTTAATGGGAGGTGAAAAGCAGCTGGAGCAACATAATAAGATTCATCTGGGGCTGCATTAGTGAGATTTTTCACTTTTTGTTTGTTTGTTTTTTGGATGCTTTATTATAATTTCACAAAATATAATGTACTATATATTTTTAATAACACTAATACAACAAAATTCAATACTGTAGATGAACAAATGTACATAGTATGATTTCATACCACAGTATAACATGGTATTGGTATACAACTGCAATCCTAGATGGATAAAAGATGCTCAAAATACACACAAGAAGCACATAACTGAGGTAAATACATATGAGTGCAGTTACAACCTATAGTGATTATACAGCTCATTGAACATCATGTTAAAATAAAGTTTAACAGCTCAAGCTCAAGTTTCAAACCACAGACCTTGTGATCAATGACTGACCAGCTGAGCTATAGTCGCTCATGTTAATGTGCATTGTGATGCAAAATGCACAAAGTCAATTTTTATAATAAAATGTGAGATTTTATTATACTTAAATTTGTATTCTGTGTCATCACAGCCTTTCCTCATGTGGACTCTCAGAGACTCACTGTGAAGTTGTGGCCTCAGCTCTGAAGTCCAACCCCTCCCATCTGAGAGATCTGGACCTGACTAACAACAACCTGCAGGATTCAGGAGTGAAGCTGTTGTGTGCTGGACTGGAGAGTAAAAACTGTAGACTGGAGACTCTGAGGTCAGTTCATTTATTTTGCTCTTGTACAGTGTATATCTACCAAATTTAAATGTGTAACAGAAGCTTTAAGTTTCCTTCAGTTCTCTTGTTTTCTGGGTTTGTCTGAGCACTAATCACAACACCTGTCAAGTTTGTCAGTTTGTACAGTTGGTTCAGCTACACAAAAACAACATAAACACAGTCCCACCACTTGTGAGACCCAATTTTCCATTGATAACATGGGGTGTTTACGTCTTTACAACTCTATTAGCTAGACGACTCATTGTATTCAGATGGTAGGATGCTCTTCCCCCGTCACACAGTAGCTGGTTCAAGGAGATCCTGAACCCCATCAAACTTGATGAATGTACTTTTTCTTTTTGACTTAATGTTATTTTATGGTTGTGTGAGCAATGTGGGAATGTGGGTGGGTGGGGATAATGGATGTGGGATTGAGTTGATGGAAGTGAAGGTGGGTTTGTGTTCTTGATCTGGTTTATGTGTTCTGTCTGTCAAATCAGGGACCAGTTCATTCTGATATTCTAGATATGTCCCTGTTTATTGTCCACAATACTGGAATAAAATAAAACAAATATTTCAGAAGTAAAACCTGAACACATCTGATTGGACTATAAATGGATTTTTATCTTCATCATTTATTCTTTATTCAGATTGAGGGACTGCAGGTTGTCAGAGATCAGCTGTGATTATCTGGTCTCAGCTCTGAAGTCCAACCCCTCCCATCTGAGAGAGCTGAACCTGAGTAACAACAATCTGCAGGATTCAGGAGTGAAGCTGCTGTGTGGTTTTCTGGAGAGTCCACACTGTAGACTGGAGACTCTGAGGTCAGACACCATTTTTTCCTTCTGTGCTGAGATTAATATGATGTGAAAGTTGACAGTAAAGTGCAGACATAAGGCTGATATTATACTGATCCACACTGAGTATCTTAATGCTAAAGTCTGTTTTCTTCTTCAGTGGTTTAGTCCACTGACCGTGGCAGAGCAATGTTGAGCAAAATTCATCCTGACATATTTGACAGCTTTGTGATCTTCAGTTGAATCTTTAATCAGTTTCTGTGTGTTTTTCTTTGTGTTTGGCTGCACAACATGAGTTTGTATAGATGGAGCCACTGGTGGAGCTGGCAGAGGTTAAGAGCTGAAGTCACTACGTCTTTATTGAAGCAGCAGCACGTTGTCATTAATATTAATGAGAGCTCTTTTTACCTTTTTGTATTTTACAGTTTTCAACCTGCTGTTGGGTTCAGGTGTTTGGAGTTTCCATTTTCTAAACTTGTACATTCTAAACCTTCTTCAGCTCTGAACAGATTATTAAACACTGAATGATTTCAAACAGGAACATTGTCTTCTAAACTTACATCTTTTGTTCTTTATTCAGACTGAGGGGCTGCAGTTTGTCAGAGATCAGCTGTGATTATCTGGTCTCAGCTCTGAAGTCCAACCCCTCCCATCTGAGAGAGCTGAGGCTGAGTAACAACAATCTGCAGGATTCAGGAGTGAAGCTGCTGTGTGGTTTTCTGGAGAGTCCACACTGTAGACTGGAGACTCTGAGGTCAGACACCATATTTTCCTTCTGTGCTGAGATTAATATGATGTGAAAGTTGTGCTGACAGTAAAGTGCAGACATAAGGCTGATATTATACTGATCCACACTGAGTATCTTAATGCTAAAGTCTGTTTTCTTCTTCAAGCATCAATTCTTTCCAAGCATGAGATTTTGTACTCTTCCATTGAAATACACAAATATTTTGCCATTCTTTGTCTGTTATTGTCAGGTCTCCTTCCTTCTCCCATCTATCCTTTATATATTTTGTTGAATGACCTTTTAGATTGTGGAGGCTCTTATACAGTTGAGAGATGACCCCTCTTTTAATATCTGACTTACATGCATTTATGAGAAGTTGCATAAAGAGTTTACTGGCTTCTCTGGTGTTTTTTATTTTTGATTGAAGTAATTTATTAATTGGAGATATCTTTAGAAATCCTGTTTTTCCAATGAAAAATTATCCCTCAATGATTTAAAACACATGATTTCATCTTTCTGTATAATGCTGCACAGAGATATTATACCTTTGTTTATCCAAACTTTGAATCTATCATTGAGTTTATTTAGTGTGAGATCTGAATCATATGCACACCAACTCAGGATTTTAATATCTTCTTTCAGTGTATGTTCTTTTACCTCTGCTCTCCGAACCCCGAGAGCTGATACTCTCATCTGTGCTGAGATATAATAATGTTTCTGTGATGTTAAACCCCAGCCTCCTCTTTCTTTCAGTAGCTGTAATGTTTTATATCGTACTCGAGGTCTTTTTCCTGCCATATAAATCTCAATATCATTAAACACTGAATGATTTCAAGCAGGAACATTGTCTTCTAAACTTACATCTTTTATTCTTTATTCAGATTTAGGGGCTGCAGGTTGTCAGAGATCAGCTGTGATTATCTGGTCTCAGCTCTGAAGTCCAACCCCTCCCATCTGAGAGAGCTGAGGCTGAGTAACAACAATCTGCAGGATTCAGGAGTGAAGCTGCTGTGTGGTTTTCTGGAGAGTCCACACTGTAGACTGGAGACTCTGAGGTCAGACACCATTTTTTCCTTCTGTGCTGAGATTAATATGATGTGAAAGTTGTGGTGACAGTAAAGTGCAGACATAAGGCTGATATTATACTGATCCACACTGAGTATCTTAATGCTAAGTCTGTTTTCTTCTTCAGTGGTTTAGTCCATTGACTGTGGCAGAGCAATGTTGAGCTCCACATTTAAAACCTGAATATAACAAGAAAAATCTACACTGGATAATTCACTCTGAACCTCTTAAACTCTTAATTTTCATCTTTATTTATATTAATTTAGGATTAGCAGGAACATTGTCTTCTAAACTTACATATTGTATTCTTTATTCAGATTGAGGGGCTGCAGTTTGTCAGAGATCAGCTGTGATTATCTGGTCTCAGCTCTGAAGTCCAACCCCTCCCATCTGAGAGAGCTGGAGCTGAAAGACAACAATCTGCAGGATTCAGGAGTGAAGCTGCTGTCTGGTCTTGTGAAGAGTCCACACTGTAGACTGGAGACTCAGAGGTCAGTAGAGGGTTGGAGTCAGTCCATGCTGGTTTCAGCAGTATTGTACTAAACACAGTTAGTATCAAAGCAAAGATCCAGTATTTGCTGCTTTCCTCAGTGAAGCTGTGAGAGGAGGATGGTGACAGGCTTCAGGATTGGACAGAAAGACAGAGAGAGACTGTAAACACTGATTTATGACTGCTGTTGTCTGTCTTCTTCTCTCATCAGCTGGTGGTGATCTCAGTCAGAGTGTGAGTGGTGAGGAAGGAGGTTGTGTTGGAGGATCAGCTGTGTCCTGATGATCCAGAGAGGTTGAAGCAGCAGCATCAGCTCTGACTGGGCCATGTTACTGGGAGGTAGAGTGGAGAGGAGAGCTTCATCCAGCAGTGACTGACAGAGGAATCACAACCAGTGGAGATGACTCTCAGTGCTGCAGTCTGAACTGCTCTGAGATCAGCTCCACTGTCAGACACAATGTCAACATAACTGTAGATTGAAACTTACTTCAATTGATTTCTTTCTTTGCACCTTGTGGAACGATGGAGAGTTGTAGTTAATTTCCACAATATATTTTGGAATCATTAATATTAGTGCAATATTATATATCTGCTATCTTTTAAAATATATATCTATCCCTACATTTTGATATTTAATCCATTGTTATTATGAAAATATTGAACAGAGTTACTTAAAGTTACTGAAATATCTGGATTTTGGTGAGAAGTCAGTGAACATTGGTTACACATTGAACACCAGAACATTTTAATACCTCGTTATATTATTCTATTGACATAAAATTAATCAGCAAAATATAAAATAAGCTCTAATCTGAAGGGTTATTGGTAATAATTAAGATTATGTGCATGTATATATTTGTTCTGTTTTCTCATATTGCATCAAAAACACAAATCTGTATATTAAAATCACATCTTACTTCTGATTGATATAAATCTCCTCAATCCAGCTTCTATAAATATAAATTATCTCCATGTTGGTGTAAATGAAGCACATTTGTTATTTCTTTGGATCCTCCAGTCTTATTTTTGACTGAAGAAGATTCAAGTTGGTTGCTTATTGATCTCCTGATTTTCAAATAAATAAATCAATAACTATCACAAATATCAGCCTTTTCTCATTTTATTTCAGATGAATATTTGCTTGTGAGGAACAGAAATAAGATAAAACCTGAACAAAGTGTGGATTCAATCAAAGCTTTACTGTAGTTTCTCAGTTTGCAGTCGGCTGTTTACGTCTTCATTAGACTCTGAGCATAAAACAAAGGTGGAAAGCCATCTGACTCTGACTCCCACACTGAGAAAGATCATGTTTTATTCACACAATTAAAGTGAATCAGTTTCCAACAAGTGCTCGTCCAGTCTGTTGTAACACAGAAGAATTCAACTTTAGAGACTTAAAGGCAAATTCCATACATGAACAATAAAAAGGAAGCCCCAGAGTTAAACTGAAAACAGGATTAGAAGCTGCTGTCACTCTCAAACTGATTCCCTGGTCTTAATACAGGAAGTCATGTTCAGTAATAACTCAGTTTGAGTTGTTCAACTTCTCTGATGACGTCCTCAGTAACAGGAGAAGATGGTGATGATGGAGCTGCAGCTGATTCACTCTGTGGCTCTCAGACTAAAGGCTACTTCACTTATCAACAAGCTGACTACTATAATAGGATCTGTTGGCAGAAATAATATGTGTAATATGTGCCTAACTCATTAGTGTATAATAGTGCCTTAAGTATCATTCATGTGTGCATCAAATTCTGTATTCAATTCAGTCTCGATCCTCAAAATAAGGCTTCAAAACTCTTTAAACTTTGAGACTTTTAAACTTTTTTCTCCTTTTTCATTTGAAGAAATCCTCTTTATTTTGAAAAATTTAAAAAAAAGTTGAACAAGTATATAAAAAGTATTTAATGTCTGTCAGATATTTACAGCAAGTTTAAAGTGTTTATATAAACTCAGCAGTGACAGAATTTCACAGTCAGCTTGTAAAGTGACTGCATCACTTCACTGTGTTGCAGCGCCCTCTACAGGGAAGAAACTGAAAATTAAAGATCAACTTTAAGTTCTTACCATCAGCACAAAAGATAGTGTTTTCCATGTAAAAAGAGACAAAAGACCTAAATTTGTGCACAAGTTAAAATATATGAATAAAACAAAATACATATAAAACAGAATACTTTAGTGAACAGTTGTGATTAAATTAATTTACTGTATATATACAATAATAATGTAGGAAATGTATGAGCTTAAATTAATATACACATTGTCAAGCAGTTCTAGTTGATGTTGCTGAGAGCTGCTTGCCACAGTTTCACACGAGTTTCTGAGGATTTGCTCACATTAATCCAATACAGTCACATTGAGAGCAGCACAGGTTGTTGGGGATCTTGTAGGTAGTTGCTATCATACATGTCTTCTTCTTTCCTGCGAAAAAAACTGAACACAGGTTATTGGTAAAATACATCCAGGTGGAACTCAACACAAACTTTTATTACCTTTAGTTGATTGAGTTTTTATTAGTTAATTTAATTAATTACAGCCTGCGTGCACTGTAAGATTATTCAGGTGCTTCTGTATTCAGTATGTAAGATATACTTACCACAAGGAGTTTTCTCATAGTACCATTTCTGGTCTTGTTCCTCTCTGTGTCAAACACACATCATCATCAGTGCAAACAACGTACACATTAAATAAATCCCAACTGAAGGCAGAATGTGTTTTTCTTACCCTTTTAGATTTGCAGTACAGTATAAGTCCTGTTAGCAATACAACCACAATGACTCCAACCACCACAGCTACAATAATGCCTGTAACACCAGTCCGACTCACTGAAACAGAGAGAGACAGTTCAGTTAAATGAACTTGAACCAACCAACTCAGACCACAACATACTGACTGATAACTACTGTAGCATTGTTCACGTGTCCATCTCTCAGAATCTAGTTTCCTCACCCTCAGCTGTTAGATCTTCCTGATGTTAAGCAATCCTACATTCAGCTACTTCAACTTTGCAGCCAACCACCTATTAACACTGCAGCAAACATCCCAACACCCAAGCAACCCTCGGGCAATGCCTTAACAGAGACCTACAGCACTCTTGCAACCACCTACTTACATCTACTGGAATAGTGTGAGGGTCCCTCTGTGTGCTTTGTACTGCTTGTGGAGGTGGCTGTGGTTTACACTCAGCTGCAGGAGAGAGAGAGAGGTGTGGGGACGGCTTGTGAGAGCAGCGCCAGGTGAGTTGACAGTTGATTCTGTCTGGAGGGCTGCAGACCTGTCGGAGGTTAATCAGCAGTATGTTGCACACCTGGACTCGGTGTGCCCCGTGGATATAAGCCAGAGCAGCAGCCAGTCCTTTAGCAGCTCTCCTCTCCCTCCACACACCTTTTGTTTGGTATCTTTTGTTTCCTTTTCTTTGGTTTTATAACATCCACTCCCCACACTACTGGCCTTACAGAGTCCTCTCACCTATGTATTTGGATAGTTTTGTTGTAAATAAATGACTTCTTTTGCCCCAGTCTAAGAGCTGAAACTGGTTGAAACTGTGCCCGAATATCAGACCTGAGATATGCTGATAGTTTGAATGGCAGCTTTCACTCAGACAGACTTGCTCTTACCTTTCTCTATTCTCAGAAAGGTGTTGGTTACGTATGTCTCCTCAGGATTACTGAGTTCACAGGTGTACATCCCCTCCTGTTTCCAAGATAAGTCCTGTAGCATGAGGCCGCCTGACTCAGAGACGCCCTTCACCTGCTGCCTCCACTCCTCTGAGACTGAGTGGCTGACGTTGGCTCCGGCCTGGTTCAGAATGATCTGACTGTGGTTGAATCTCCAAACGAGGCTGAAGACCATCAGGGAGGTGTTTGACACACTGCAGGGGATTGTTGTGTCAGTGCTGGAGGCAATGATAGGAGCTGAAATGATGCAACACAAACAGAAAAAGATCAAAACGCCTGTGAATCCGAATTATTTCCACAGATATAGAAACACATACTGTCGGATAAGAGCTGATTGGACATATTTGTTTGCTAAACAACTGAGAATTATTAACTGCCAGGTTTGTTAGTTTGCAGTTTATCTGAAAACTCAGTGAACAAATGTCCATGTTACTCAATGAGCAAGTGATTAGTTGTTAGTGTTTGAAAAGAAATGTTATTTAAGTTGCCATTTTTTATCATTTTGTGCTATTTTCTCAAAAACGTGTTGTTATAACTGACCCAGGAAATAGGACTCAATAGCACGACTCGACACACACAAGGGCTCCGTAAAACAAACAGTAGTTTACTTGCAGTCCAGTTCACAGAGATCCAATCAGATCAGATCAGGCAAACAAACCCTAAAAGGGCGAAGGCAGAGTCCAAAGGCATGCAAAAATCAAAAAACAAAGACACATAATCAACACACAAAGGCAGGAAGTGAATGGATTTGAAACCAGAGGTAAGTACAAAATAAAACAGGAAGTGAAAACATGAAATGATGACTAAAGAAAACAGACTTCTT